CCATTCTTTTAAGGCTTTATCAATGTATATCTTAAACAGGGTTGGAGATATACAGCAGCCTTGCCGTAATTCTTTATTTACTGGGAAGTTGTCTGATAGACATTTTCCCACTTTTACTTAACTTTTGTTATCTTTATAAAGTTGTTTGACTGCATTTATGTATGTTGTTGATATTCCTTTTTCTTTCATTGCCTCCATACTTCGTTTACTGGTACATGGAATACTCCGTGGAATAAATTTTTTTATAATCTGTGACTATCTGTAGAATACCCTGATTGAAATCTAGATTACGTAAGATGCAAGATTATCAATAGGGTTTATTCAACTTAATTGTTATTTGAAACAGACATTACTTCTCGCCCCTAGCAGTAAGCATGCAACATAGTGATTGGAATCAGCTACATAAACCGAGCTAATATTGAAAGTCGTGTTGATTTGTTGAATTATTAAATACACGCCAGCGTATTTCTGAGTGAGTTTCTTACTTTCTCGCTACGGGATAGAGTCAAAAATATGTAATGCTTTGCAAGAAAAACTGCAATTTTTTGGCAGAAAACCGTTATTTCTTGGCCTTAGCAACAAAAAAAGAGGATAAAAACAGTTGCTAAATTTAGAAGAAAAAAATCTTTTACCTCGTGGTGTAGCCCGAATCCATATTTTTTGGGTCATTGTTACAGAAAAATCGATTGACGGCCAACGTGTGTCCGTCTGTCGTGTGTGAACGTTCATAGCGTCTAAACCATTACGCCGATTTTCTCCAAGATTGATATTCCCGAATCGGTCATGCTGATGTCGCGGTTCCATGAATACGAAACCGATATGTAATTTTTAGGGGTACTTTACATGATGCTCCGGAGATATTTTTAAAAAATGGTTCCATTGATTTTGCTTAAATTTTATTTTTGGATATCATGAAGAACGTTTAAAAGATTAATGCAAGTATCGTGTTCCTTAAGACCCTTAATTTTTTTGAAAATTGTAAAAAGTATATAATTTTTGGGGTCTCCCTACAACTAAAATTTTAAGATACAGATTTATCCCTCCATGAAATCTGTTCCTCAAAGATAATTTTGAAGTAATGTCATGTACAAGTTTTTGAAAATTGAATACATTTCTTGTAATTGTGCATGGATTTACGAGCGAGAAAGTAGGTGCTCTTTCTAGTTTCCTTTCTTCTTGAAGATTGATAGAAATATATAATCCGGATAATGTGTATAGTTAATCTTATTTTTAATTTCCTACTTAGTAGTTGGGTCACGTCAATAAAAGCACGATATGCATTTTTTAATTAGAACTCAAATGAATATATATTTTTTTATAATGTTTTAGCTTTGATTACTGTGGAATGATCTGTTTTAAATCCAGACTGTGTATGATTGAAGGTAATTAATTTCTGTAAAATAACATAATACTTTTTAGAATGAGAGTTTGCTGCGAGCGGTGATTGCACATGAGAGCGAAAACCTGATGTTGAAAGTCGTGTTATATTGATATTATTAGTTTTTACACTAGGTATTTATGAGTGCCGAAGTCGTTTTCTAATATATTTGAAGATTGTTAGGAAATCCAAATTCGGATAATTTGTACCGTTAATTTTCATGTTCATTTTCATTGAATTACTTTGGTCACGTCAATGAGTGTATGGTATGAATTTTCTTAAGACCTCGAGAGAATATTTACTTTTTATAATCCTTGAGCATTAATGATGTGTAGTATGGTCTGTATAAAATCTACACTGAGTATGATGGAAGTAAATAAATTTAAGTAACTTAATTCTTTTTACTTCCTACTCGCAAGAAGTTATTTTTTAAGAAGAGAAAATTATGTAATGTTGCGGGAAAAAGCGGGGAATGTTCAGCACAAAAACACTAATTGCCTGGCCTTGCTGACGAAAGACTGGATGTATTTATTTGCCAAATGTAGAACACAACCGAACACATGGTGTAGCCAGTATGCATGTTTTGTGCATCATTGATACCGCAAAATCGACTGACGGCAAAGCGTCCGCCCGTGCATCTGTCCGTTGTTCCGCCTGTCTGTGAACAACGCTTGCGGCTAAACCGTTCAGACGATTTCCTCCCAAATTGATATTCCAGGAATTTACATGCAGCTCGTAAACTATTTTTAAAATAAAAAAACGGGGGATTAAACTAGGATATTGAATAGTGTGAAGGACAGTTAAGACAATGGTGTAGATCGCTAAGTTGTCGAAAACTCTGATTTTTTTTAAAAATCGCGTAAGTTGATAATTTTTTTGGTGTTTTCCCACAGCTAAAATATTAAAGATAGAGATTTTTTCGCTTAATGAAATCCGTTCCTTAGACAGAGTACTCTATCTCAGTTTCTCTGTCACATTCTCTGCGGCTCTCAAACCACCACTAATTTTGGTAGTTTAAAATAGTTGTTTAATTTGAAATATTTTCATTTTAATTAAATTATTTTTGTGGGTATCAATAATAATACTAATAACTAAGTTGGACGCAATTTATCTTTTGGAAATTTGGATTTTATTCTGCAAGGGATAACAACATTACGGTCTAAATTAAGTTTTGAGTTAGAGGAGAAAAGTTCAGTACAGAGAAACATTTTGAGACCTTTTTAATATATTATTCATATTGTAATCTACCTGTAATTTTCTATGAATTGGTGAATTTGATATAAACCAAGGGTCTTCGAGTATCCGTAGAAGGCATTTATTTTGCACAAATTCTTCTGCAAAAGTTTCTTATTGTCGTACTCGTATCTGCAGTATTGAGCCAAATTGGGCATGCTTTGTTTCTCGACGAGTGTCAAGGTTTT